TCAAATCACTGCATGGTCTTGGTATTATCATTACTCGGGTGATGCAATTTTATGTTGTACCAAAAATGTATTTTTGATTCAACCAAGAGAAAAATATTTTATATAACATATTGAAAAAAATAAATGGAATACAGCAATATATGTGCTATATATAATAATGGGCTTAGCAAAATCAGCGGGGAAAGAAGATCCTGTTGAACTTGACTCTGGTTGTTACTAAACATATGGACTAAATGGTTTAGTTGGTTTAGCCAAGTGCTCATTTGAGTCACGAGATAAGTAATTTTTTTATTGTAAATATTTAATTTTATTTAAAAAGTATACTTTTGGAAAAATTACAAACTCTTATAATTAATAACTTTAATACTAAAAATTTGTCTAATTTGTCTCAAATAAAATTTAAAAACAATTATTTGAATCTTTTTTGAAAAAGGAAACTAGAGTAATGACGACAGGTGGCGGGCGATAACCACCACCAACATCCTTAAAACACTTACCCAGCGATGTCTTGTTGAGTTTGTCTGTTTCTTTTATTAGGCCGATACGACATATTTAATAAAAAAAAATAAAAGTTTGTGATTTGATCGACGCGTACATTGATTTATCCTATTGGTTTTTTTTTGGTAGGACAGACGCGAATTGATTTTTTTTTCTTTCTTGGAAAAACAATTTATTTTTTGACAGAGTCCAAGGTGAACGTTGTTGTTTGGTTTGGCATGGTTTGGGTCTCCTAAAGAAAATGTGTTAATAACTAACCAGAGGTACTATTTTTTATTTGTATTGATTGATATTTTTATTTTATATAAACATTTTAATTGGAATCAAAACGTGGAGCAGATCTTGTTGGGTAATTACAAGATTTTCATTGATAATATTTTACTTTTCGTAATCGTTAATAATATTAATAATATCATTATAAATATTATATTATAATCACAAGAAGATGTCAAGGCAGCACACTGTTGAAAAAGAAACAATTCGAGTATGCAATGTTTGATTACAGGAAAATAGCAGGCGTTAAGCACGCACGCTGCCTTGAACACATTACAGTCATTCACTCGTTCCTTGTGTACATAAGGCTAATCTGACCTGCTCCCTCCGATGTATACAATGATGCAACAGAATTCCGGGGGGCGGGGGCATGGCCCTGGAATTTACCGAGACTGCATCAATCGTCAATGACGCTTTCACTAATCTCCCCAGACCAGAGATGGCTGCTGCCATGTTGGATGAAAAGTCGCCTGCAACGATCCTACCTCCAGGGTAAGGATGGCACTGTGACCAAGTCGCAACTCTGCAGATGAATATTAGTGCCATGTAAATATCCAGATCCATCAAAGCA